GCTGTATGTAAGTAGAGAATTCTGCTGTATGTAAGTAGAGAATTCTGCTGAATGTAAGTACAGAATTCTGCTGTATGTAAGTACAGATCTAGAATTATGTTGTATGTCAGAACAGATCTAGAATTCTGCTGTAAGTAAGTAGAGAATTCTGCTGTATGTAAGTACAGAATTCTGCTGTATGTAAGTACAGAATTCTGCTGTATGTACATTTAAGTAGAGAATTCTGCTGTATGTAAGTAGAGAATTCTGCTGTATGTAAGTACAGATCTAGAATTCTGCTGTATGTAAGAACAGATCTAGAATTCTGCTGTATGTAAGCAGAGAATTCTGCTGAATGTAAGTACAGAATTCTGCTGAATGTAAGTACAGAATTCTGCTGTATGTAAGTACAGAATTCTGCTGTATGTAAGTACAGATCTAGAATTCTGCTGTATGTAAGTACAGATCTAGAATTCTGCTGTATGTAAGAACAGATCTAGAATTCTGCTGTATGTAAGCAGAGAATTCTGCTGAATGTAAGTACAGAATTCTGCTGAATGTAAGTACAGAATTCTGATGTATGTAAGTACAGAATTCTGATGTATGTAAGTACAGAATCCACAGTAAAAAAGTTCTCTAGTTTTTCGCCTGTAGTCGGACAGACATTCTTGAACAGGAACTATAGCTCTGATTTTAATGTAAATGATGATCTTAATAGGTCACAAAGTGTCAATGTATTTACTGCAATAATGACTCAGGGACCCCAGAACATCGAAACAGAGACATAAATGTTAACACTTATTGAATAGATTATTATCATCATGTAACCAGCATTAGTCACACAAGCGATATGGAATTTTGACTTCTTATAGCAATAACCATAAAGTTTTGATGGTAGAAACATGTTCCTCGTGAATGTAAGCATGAAGAAAAACCATCTACAGGTAGCATACAGTACCAAATGTCATCTACAGGTAGCATACAATACCAAATGTCATCTACAGGTAGCATACAGTATCAAATGTCATCTACAGGTAGCATACAGTACCAAATGTCATCAACAGGTTGCATACAGTACCAAATGTCATCTACAGGTAGCATACAGTACCAAATATCATCAACAGGTTGCATACAGTACCAAATGTCATCTACAGGTTGCATACAGTACCAAATGTCATCTACAGGCGGCATACAGTACCAAATGTCATCTACAGACAGCATACAGTACCAAATGTCATCTACACGCAGCATGCAGTACCAAATGTCATCTACAGGCAGCACACAGTACCAAATGTCATCTACAGGCAGTATACAGTACCAAATGTCATCTACAGGTTGCATACAGTACCAAATGTCATCTACAGTCAGCATACAGTACCAAATGTCATCTACAGACAGCATACAGTACCAAATGTCATCTACAGACAGCATACAGTACCAAATGTCATCTACAGTCAGCATACAGTACCAAATGTCATCTACATGCAGCATACAGTACCAAATGTCATCTACATGCAGCATACAGTACCAAATGTCATCTAAAGGCAGCATACAGTACCAAATGTCATCCACAGGCAGCATACAGTACCAAATGTCATTTACAGGCAGCATACAGTACCAAATGTCATATACAGGTAGCATACAGTACCAAATGTCGTCTACAGGCAGCATACAGTACCAAATGTTATCTACAGGCAGCATACAGTACCAAATGTTATCTACAGGCAGCATACAGTACCAAATGGCATCTACAGGTAGCATACAGTACCAAATATCATCAACAGGTTGCATACAGTACCAAATGTCATCTAAAGGCAGCATACAGTACCAAATGTCATCCACAGGCAGCATACAGTACCAAATGTCATCAACAGGCAGCATACAGTACCAAATGTCATCAACAGGTAGCCTACAGTACCAAATGTCATCTACAGGCAGAATACAGTACCAAATGTCATCTACAGGCGGCATACAGTACCAAATGTCATCTACAGACAGCATACAGTACCAAATGTCATCTACAGTCAGCATACAGTACCAAATGTCATCTACACGTATAACATACAGTACCAAATGTCATCTACAGGAAGCATACAATACCAAATGTCATCTACAGGCAGCATACAGGACCAAATGTCATCTACAGGCAGCATACACTACCAAATGTCATCTACAGGTAGCATACTGTACCAAATGTCATCTACAGGTAGCATGCAGTACCAAATGTCATCAACAGGTAGCCTACAGTACCAAATGTCATCTACAGGCATCATACAGTACCAAATGTCATCTACAGGTTGCATACAGTACCAAATGTCATCTACAGACAGCATACAGTACCAAATGTCATCTACACGTATAACATACAGTACCAAATGTCATCTACAGGCCGCATACAGTACCAAATGTCATCTACAGGAAGCATACAATACCAAATGTCATCTACAGGTAGCATACAGTACCAAATGTCATCTACAGGTAGCATACGGTACCAAATGTCAGATGGAATGAGGAAAATATCGATATCACATATGATCTTAATGAAATAGATGGAAACCTTAAGGATATTTTTAATATACCTTAATGTGTATAGCCTATTAATCTTGTTGTTTTACCTTACTTTAATATCAAAAACCATTAATTTTATATCTAGGCCTGGAGAAAATACATGTATGTACTTTTTATATGCATGCATGACACAACAATCCTAAGTATTGCATGGTACTATAGGTATATATACAATGTAGGTAACTAAAGGTCAAAGGTCAAATTGATTAACATTATCATTCAGCAAAATATTCCTTGTATTGATGTCAGCTTAATATCTCTATTTAGTGAAAGTGAGGAAAAATATTTCTGAGCCTTTTAAAATTTGACATTTACTGTGTTTACAAATCTTTTCACTCGTAGCCCATGTTGACCACTGACCCCAGCCACTGTTCAAAGTTAAACTTTGACTTCAAAATAATATACTAGAAATAAAACAAACTTGCACTGCTGACCTATTTATATTACAACAAGAATATAATCAAAGTATCACCCATCAAGACTTAATAGTTCTTTTAATAATATTGTCTAAAATTTGTTTGACCCCTGTGACCTTGAAAACCGGTCAAGGTCATTTAAATTAGAATATTTACAGCACTCTACTCAGGTACCTACAAGCCAAATATCATGACGCTGGAACTTCAGCAAGAGACTCTTAAATCTCTTTTAAGACCCATGCTTACATTTGATTCTGGCCAGCACATACATTGACCTTTGAACTAAACGTCAAAAAAAAACTTGACTGCTGGGCCCGTATTCATGAAACCGTTCTCATGCTCAAGCATGGTTTCTGTGCTCAAACCAACTTTCTTGTAACTCGCTTAAATCATATCAAACGATCAAAAAGTCAAAAATAAATATTTAAAACAGTTTTCATCTTTAAGTCTCTTCAATGTTTTCCCATATCATTGACAAACAAATATTTACTTATTAACTCATAGCCGTAACAAGAAATTCGGCTTGAGCACAAACTCCATGGTTGAGCACAAACTCCATGGTTGAGCACAAAATCCATGGTTGATCACAAACTCCATGGTTGAGCACAAAATCCATGGTTGATCACAAACTCCATGGTTGAGCACAAACTCCATGGTTGAGCACAAACTCCATGGTTGAGCACAAACTCCATGCTCGAGCATGAGAACGGTTTCATGAATACGGGCCCCGGTGTACATAACATATCCACATATTATGGCTCTTAAGGTCATAGGAGTGTATTGCTAAACGGAAATAGGAAGTACATCCCTAGTTGAAAATCCAATGTAGGGAGACAGTATCACAATTTCCGCATAATCTAATGTTTAATATTAAAGCGATGAATATTGTTTGCTTATTATTGACAGAACAGTGTGTTCTTTTAATATTAAAGTATTGCAAAGCAATCCAGGCATTAATTCAGTTGTTTTTTAATTAATGAGTCACATGTGTCCATTTCTCTGTACTTCAGGAAACCGCCTACCTATTTCACTACGGTGAAGTTTTTCAAGAACGATAACTCTTGCATGCAATTACTGTGTATATGGTTTTATTATAAAATGTCAAATTTAATTGTTTATAGATAATTAATTTTACACAATTTCAGTATTTATGAAATTGATATACATTAATGCAATACTAATCTATGTTAGTATCATTTTTATTGACATTATTTTGCAAAAAATTGTGTGTTTCAAATCTTTTTTCCAAATTCACTCCTTTTTACATAAATTTCCATTTAAAATCCTTAAAATTCAGACAACCTATATTTTTTTTGTGGCAGAAAATTTTCTTTACTTCAAAGCAATATAACTACAAAATTTGAATAAATTCAACTGAGAAATGGTGACACAATCCTATTACCTTAAGAAAATGTTGCTTGATTTTTATACAATTATTTGACCCCTGTTACTTTGCAAGTAGGTCAAGGTCAGCTGTAACAGTATTAGCTATGCAGGTATGTTGTATTTTGGGTAGGGGTTGGGTCACTAGCCTGCAGTATAATTCGGAGATGACAATGTCAGACGACCCATTATCAGTAAACATTATACAGTTCTCAAAATAATCATTTATTAAAGACATGGAAGTGAGACTGATGTCACTTTTCATTAACTTCTGCAAAACAGGATCCCTCTATGACATAATAATGCTTGGCGGATCTGTTTTCTAACATTGAAAGGAGACCATGCATGTCTACAAAGGAAACCAATTACGTGTACATGGTTGACATCGACTTTGTGTTACCTCAGAGTATGACTCAGCGCTGGAACAGGTAACGACCAGGATGTCCTTGTTACAACAGGTTTTTAACACTTACCTATTATTATGTTGATTCCTGTAATGTGTAACTTTCATATTATTTTCCGTTGGCAAAACTTGAAATACACTTACCTTCAAATGAGATACCCTAAGTACAGCAAATAACCCTGATGATAATCAATGCTAAAATTCAAAGACCATTTGTCTTTGCATGCTAATTGTACAGGAAGTATACATACCACACTCCTCCTTGTGGTTCCTCGTGTCATCCAGGTAACGGCTCTGTGCCTGAGGGGCTAAATCCAGGGATATATCTGCGAGGGACGAGACACTGTAGCTCCACAGACGGTGGATCGGTGCCTGTTGATTCACCGACATAGTTCCTTTTGTTGGGGTATGTGCCTGACACTCACGGATCACAGACCAACTGTTACTACGGGAATTTGACAACAGACAATCAGAATTCCTTGGTGACACGGATGAAGACTCCTGACTACTTGCATTTTGTGCAAAGCCTCTTGGTGAAAGAGAAACACTTAAACTTCTTTCACGCATTCCAACATTTTCATCATCAGTTAAATCATCATCCTTTCGTGACCTCATGGTCAAACTTTCATATGACCCCCAACGTTCACGACTTGCAGCTCTATTCCCAAGAATTTTATACTCGTCGATGTTAGGCAGTACTCTCTTAGCGTTTGGAACCTTTGATGGTGGTGTCTTATTAATGCACTTCTCCGTTGACCCTTGACCTGTGTCTTTGACAGGACTGTGACTATGGGGACTAGAATTTCTGCGCTGTATCTGGGCATACTCAACAGCTGGTGATTTAGATCTTGGTGTAAATTGTCCACACTCGGGTGAAGATGCTCTATTTCTAGGAGACAGAGAGCGGTAACCAGGTGATACAGACCTGTTGCTAGGAGAAGTAGACCTGTTCACAGGCGACACTGCCCTGGTGTAAGAAGCCAGGGAATGTTCACTCTGTGATGGCGACACTGATCGTAGTTCAGCAGGAGTGGAATAGATCAACTCATTTTCATCTTTGAGGGCACGGAATACCAACATTCTCCTGGCTTGCACAACCTCTTCTGGTGACCTCTTACGGTTATCAAGAATTTCATATCTCCTAGAACTAATATCAAACTCCAGTGACCGACGTTTACGGTCATCTACCTCAAGTGACCGACGTTTCATTTCCTGCCCTTTTCTCTTGTCTGAATTAATCTGATGTGAAGTTCTTCTCATCTGCACACTAGTTCCCATGGCAACTGACCTTGGAGGGGTTATTTTTGGTTTGACAAGGTCAATAGCAGGTGCAGAGCTGGTTCTAGGACGGAAATACTCGTTACTGAGATCCATATGTAGTGGGGCAACACGCTGTCGTACACAGATCTGAGAATACTCCACATTATTTTTTCCTTTGTCACTGTTGAGATCAAAGTCAAGGTCATTGTTAGAGGTCAGACTATGCATTGACTGTGACATGATGGACATTTTAGACAAACTTGCCTGGGAAAGGGAGAGATCACGATTCATTACGGCAAGACCACGCCGCTTAGAAATATCCTCCAATTTCTCCCCATACAGCGCATGCGACACATTACGCATGTTACGTGCAGAAAGACGTGGTGATTCTGTGCTATCTTTGCGTGTGAGTGACCTGCGTATTGTGTCACGTCCCAAGGTGTCTCGATCCTTACTTTCTATATAAGTGATTGAACCTGCGCTGTGACTAGAAGGGAAATGATGTGCACGAGATGGTGCTGATGACGACAAAATCTTTGACTCTGATTCCGATGTTTTCATTTTGCCACTTTGTATACTGACTATGTGATCTGCATCAGGCGTTCCTTTCATCTGGCTGTTCTGACCCGATTTGATATAACCATTGGACCTGAAGCTGCCTCGCTTTGGTCGGGGCTCAGAGAAAGATGAACTTCTTTCCCTTTGGGGGGATTTGTTGCGCCGAAATCTTGAAGTGAGGCCATTGAAAGAGCGACTCCTTGCCCGTGTCTCCCCATACTGTTCTCCATCTTTCCTGGAGGAAGACTTGTTGCCCATTGTCACGCTCTGAAATGTTAGTCAGATGATGCAAATCGGATCAAGCTTACAAGATTTAATCAATTTTAACAAAAAATATAGATGAATCCCTCGTTTCCGTTTGAACGGTGATTTTCTTTTAATCTGAGCCTGTTCATATTTCAAACAATCTTATTTGTTGATCTTAAACAGAAATATATTTCTGGTAAACAATTAAATTCTTCAAAAATTAAGACATTTATTTGATATAGATAACTTTTTGAGCAACAGATGCCGCTATAATGGATCCAGATTTATATAGGAAATGGACAAAGGGCTATATAAGGTATATTGATATTGGATTCTGTGCATTATAATGCACGCAACAAATGCCTTCAGGAAACACCACAAGATGTGCAATGTGGAGAGGATTAATTATTTTTATCAAAGTAAGGACATTTATAACATACACACTCTCTAAACTTAATCACTTCATACACACTCTCTAAAGTAACTACTCACATACACACTCTCTAAAGTAACTACTCACATATACACTCCCTATAATAAATACTCACATACACACTCTCTAAAGTAACTACTCAAATACACACTCTCTAAAGCAGCTACTCACATACACACTCTCTAAAGTAACAACACACATACACACTCTCTAAAGCAACTACACACATACACACTCTCTAAAGCAACTACACACATACACACTCTCTAAAGCAACTACACACATACACACTCTCTAGAGTAACAACACACATACACACTCTCTAAAGCAACTACTCACATACACACTCTCTATAATAACTACACACATACACACTCTCTAAAGTAACTACTCAAATACACACTCTCTATAATAACTACTCACATACACTCTCTCTAAAGTAACTACTCACATACACACTCTCTAAAGTAACAACACACATACACATTCTCTAAAGTAACTACTCACATACACACTCTCGAAAGTAACTACTCACATACACACTCTCTAAAGTAACAACACACATACACACTCTCTAAAGTAACTGCTCCCATACACATTCTCTAAAGGAACTACTCACATACACACTCTCTAAAGTAACTACTCAAATACACACTCTCTATAATAACTACTCACATACACACTCTCTCAAGCAACTACTCACATACACACTCTCTAAAGTAACAACACACATACACACTCTCTAAAGTAACTGCTCCCATACACATTCTCTAAAGGAACTACTCACATACACACTCTCTAAAGTAACAACACACATACACATTCTCTAAAGTAACTACTCACATACACACTCTCGAAAGTAACTACTCACATACACACTCTCTAAAGCAACAACACACATACACACTCTCTAAAGCAACTACACACATACACACTCTCTAAAGTAACTACTCACATACACACTCTCTAAAGTAACTACTCACATACACAATCTCTATAATAGCTACTCACATACACACTCTCTAAAGTAACTACTCACATACACACTCTCTAAAGCATACACACATACACACTCTCTAAAGTAACTACTCACATACACACTCATTAAATTAACTACTCACATACACCCTCTCTAAAGCAACTACTCACATACACATTCTCTAAAGCAGCTACTCACATACACACTCTCTATCATAACTACTCACATACACCCTCTCTAAAGCAACTACAAACATACACACTCTCTAATGTAACTCCACACATACACACTCTCTGAAGTAACTACTCACATAAACACTCTCTAAAGAAACTACTCATATACACACTCTCTAAAGTAACTACTCACATACACTCTCTCTAAAGTAACTACTCATATACACACTCTCTAAAGTAACTACTCACATACACTCTCTAAACTTAATCACTTCATACACACTCTCTAATGTAACTACACACATACACACTCTCTAAAGTAACTACTCACATACACACTCTTTAAATTAACTACTCACATACACTCTCTCTAAAGTAACTACTCACATACACATTCTCTAAAGCAGCTACTCACATACACACTCACTAAAGCAGCTACTTTCATACACTCTCTCTAAAGTAACTACTCACATACACACTCTCTAAAGCAGCTACTCTCATACACACTCTCTAAAGCAGCTACTCACTCAGTCATAGACAGACAACACACCATGGCATCAGCTCACTCAGTCATAGACAGACAACACACCATGGCATCAGCTCACTCAGTCATAAACAGACAACACACCATGGCATCAGCTCACTCAGTCATTAACAGACAACACACCATGGCATCAGCTCACTCGGTCATTAACAGACAACACACCCTGATATCAACTCACTCAGTCATAAACAACTTCCTATTTAAACATTTTCTAAAATCAACAACTTCTGACTTGCTACAAACATACTTACACTGTTACAACTGATATAATTACATATATAAGTGTACAGGAATTTTAAAACTGTAACAAATCTTTCAAAACATTTTCTTAATAAGAAGCTCAGATGGCCTCGATCATTCATTTCAATAATCATGGCGAAATATTCTATTTAAAAGCAACATTGCGATATTATCCCAAAAGGAATAATGGTAGGATGAGTTTTTGACCCTTCATGCCCAGCATTTTCATAGAGTGGGGATTTTAACTGCATACAAATGCCACGGTTCCATGTTTTACCCAAAGCTTAATCCCAAGAGGTGGGACCAGACCAAAGAGCAACATCTGATAGCATGGTTTTGTTTGTCTCTTCATGCCCAGTAATTGTATATTTTGTTATGGGTAGGGATCTTGACCATTTCCATATTTAATCCTGGGACTAAGTTCCCAGGGATAGGGCCAGACCCCAGGGTCATTACACATGTACTTGTATCATTAGTGTAATTGTTTATTTGTGCCCAGCGATTGTATCGCTATATATATATGAACTCTAGTCAAATTTACCCTTTCCAATTGGGTAAAAGGTGGCTCTGAGTAATGAAATTCATAGTTTTGATAAAGAACATTAGGACCTATGTTTCATGGGAGAGTATTTAATTGTTAGGTCAATCTGGGATGAAGAAGTCATTTTATGATATTTTAGCCATTTTTACTAATTGACACCCCCACCCCCTCACCAAGGGCGGAGGTCAGAGTTGTAATTTTTATACCAAAACAATTCCTTTCTGTGTTAATGAATTTCATCTAAGATTGAATTATTTCCTACTTAAAATATGCAAAAAATTACCACCCAAGTTTGAATTATTTCCTACTTAAAAAATGCCAAAAATGACCACAAGTATAGTTTCTCTTCATTAAAGTTTTAATCAATTGCCTTATATAAAGTATCGTAAATGTTACCCCCACCCGCAGGGGACTTGGTGTCTCTTGGACAATAAGATTCACAATTTTAATAAAGCACCTTTGGATTTTTCAATCCATGAAAAGTATCTGATTCTAATATATCTGGGTCAAATAGAAGAATGTTGAAAGTTTTAGACTATTTTAGCCTGGTTTGAGGGCACCTTTTGAGCCCTAGGAGGGAGTGAAGGTCCCAGCCTTTTGAGCCCTAGGAGGGAGTATAGGTTGCAGGCTCATGAACCCTAGGAGGGAGTGAAGATTGTAGCCTTTTGATCCAAAGGAGGGAGTGAAGGTCGCAGGCTTTTGAGCCCTATTAGGGAGTGAAGGTGGCAGTCTTTTGAGCCCTAGGTAGGAGTGAAGGTCAAAGCCTTTTGATCCCTAGGAGGGAGTGAAGGTCAAAGCCTTTTGAGCCCTAGGAGGGAGTTAAGGTCAAAGCCTTTTGAGCCCTAGGAGGGAGTGAAGATCAAAGCCTTTTGAGCCCTAGGAGGGAGTGAAGGTCACATCCTTTTGAGCCCTAGGAGGGAGTGAAGGTTGCAGTCTTTTGAGCCCTAGGAAGGAGTAATATCACAGCCTTTTGAGCCCCAGGAGGGAGTGAAGGTGGCAGGCTTTTGAGCCCTAGAAGGGAGTGAAGGTCTCAAGTTTCAAATCACTTAACTCCTTTCACATGATAATCTTTACCACATGATGATCAGTCTAATTAATTTTGAATATTTTTCTGCTGAAAATAAACAAAATATACCCAAACTTATTATTTCCCTGTGGAAACCACAATCAAATCTGCTCATGTTGCCAGCTTTATAAGATGACAGTGATCAGTCTTATGTGACCTCTTTAAACCCTTGGCCCTTTTTACTTTATACCTGGTATTTTAACCGTATAAAGTGACCACCCGTCTTATATGGGACCAGCAATATCCCATTTTCTTATTCAACAAATTATATTCCTCCACATTTGACAACATTAATCGACCATTTTTGATGCAATCTACCTAACATTCGTTTTTGACAAAATGCAAAATACTACATTGGACAAAGCTTAGCGGCCATGATGGAAGAAAGTTCCCTAGTGATGTTTTCACTAAATTGAGTGAGCAAGTTTGACAAAGTCTAACAACAATACGTATACATTACCTCAATCCATATACTAGGTGTATGGAACATGCGTAGTGGCCTTTAGTTGTATACTATGTGTATGGAACCTGCTTAGTGGCCTTTAGTTGTATACTATGTGTATGGAACATGCTTAGTGGCCTTTAGATGTATACTAGGTGTATGGAACATGCGTAGTGGCTTTTAGTTGTATACTAGGTGTATGGATCATGCGTACTGGCCTTTAGTTGTATACTAGGTGTATGGAACGTGCTTATTGGCCATTAGTTGTATACTAGGTGTATGGAACAGGCGTAGTGGCCTTTAGTTGTATACTACGTGTATGGAACATGCATAGTGGCCTTTAGTTGTATACTAGGCGTATGGAACATGCGTAGTGGCCTTTAGGTGTATACTAGGTGTATGGAACATGCATAGTGGCCTTTAGTTGTATACTAGGTGTACGTAGTGGCCTTTAGTTGTTTACTAGGTGTATGGAACATGCTTAGTGGCCTTTAGATGTATACTAGGTGTATGGAACATGCTTAGTTGCCTTTAGTTGTATACTAGGTGTATGGGACATGCTTAGTGGCCTTTAGTTGTATACTAGGCGTATGGAACATGCGTAGTGGCCTTTAGGTGTATACTAGGTGTATGGAACATGCGCAGTGGCCTTTAGTTGTATACTAGGTGCATGGAACATGCGTAGTGGCCTTTAGATGTATACTAGGTGTATGGAACATGCTTAGTGGCCTTTAGATGTATACTAGGTGTATGGAACATGCATAGTGGCCTTTAGTTGTATACTAGGAGTATGGAACATGCGTAGTGGCCTTTAGATGTATACTAGGTGTATGGAACATGCGTGGTGGCCTTTAGTTGTATACTAGGTGTATGGGACATGCTTAGTGGCCTTTAGTTGTAGACTAGGTGTATGGAACATGCGTAGTGGCTTTTAGTTGTATACTAGGTGTATGGAACGTGCTTATTGGCCATTAGTTGTATACTAGGTGTATGGAACGTGCTTATTGGCCATTAGTTGTATACTAGGTGTATGGAACGTGCTTATTGGCCATTAGTTGTATACTAGGTGTATGGAACAGGCGTAGTGGCCTTTAGTTGTATACTAGGTGAATGGAACATGCGTAGTGGCCTTTAGTTGTATACTAGGTGTATGGAACATGCATAGTGGCCTTTAGTTGTATTGTAATAGTACTGTAGCTTCATTTATTATGTTGAATGAATTGTGATATCAAAAAATTTGCATATTAAAAAAAAGGCAAACACCTGCTTTTGACGAAAATCAATTTCACAGATATTAAATATATTGATTTGTCGACACTAAAATGATAACATTTAGCTACCAATAATGATGATTTAGCAATAAATGGGTTCGATAATTAGTTAAACACAACAAAACTTTCCAAAAAGCAACTAACTCTTCAAAAAACCAAGAAGACTAAGGTCACTCAGGCACCTTGTGTAGGAGACTAGGGGATCTTTGTCTCTGCCTATCAACTCCTTCTAACCTAAACAAATATACTGTTAGTGCCTCCTTACTGAGTTCTCTCTAACCAGCATAAGTGTGCAAACTGATGATAAGGTGCCTAACACACAACAAATAGCTGCTGGCTAAATACAGGGTCTCCACAAAGGTAAACCGGATATGGCCTACTCATGTATTATAGCTATAGTAGTAGAGTCTATTTATTGTGATTTTGATATCCTTCTTTTGATTGGACAAACTACACAGGCAGGATGTCACTCAGAAAGAGAGTTATTTACGACACTGTTCAATGATGTTACTATAGACACTACACATGATTATGTTAACTCACAAAATTCAACATCAATTTAAAATATTTTATTTGTAAGAAATTATACCCATACACTTCACAAGGATTTAATTTGTACGAGCAACAATATGACTGGTCCATTTTACAGCGATAGGCCGTTGACTTTATTCAGGTCAAATATCAATATATATTAACAGAAGTCTATCGAGTCACCTGACCACACAATGCACAGGAAACATCACAAAATCATAATGGTTGGATCAATGGAGAAAACACCATGATTTCAATACCGAGTCTTGCAATTTATAACTCAGCTTAAATTGTAGATACGGACAAAAACACAGCTGTGTAGTTTGAGCAATTTAGCAAGTCATACCAAAATGGCAGGCTATATTTCTTACTATCATAACTATCACTTGACTATTTTTCAATCTTTCATCTGCAAATGTCAGATTTAAAAAAAAAGGGGTTGTTGGTTTGGCTGGTAATGTCTAACCTATAAGATGTAAATTAAATCTTCCCTTGATACAAATTTGATTGTGTGGAAAACCTGTATCTTCTCTACAAGGGGGATGGGTGCCCTAAGGGTAATTAATTCACAATTTTGATCAAGCACTTTGGGACTTTTCCATCACTTAATTAACAGTCTAGCATGTCTGCATGGGTCTGAAGTAGACTTTTAAATTTGAAGTCAATTTAACCCATTTCCCCCTGCCGTCTTTATTAAGGCCTTTGTTCCAAGTCAACTAAAATTTAGCACACACTCAATTGGATACAAGCCAGAAAGATTTGGAGAAAAGAAATTGTAAGTTAAAACTTGGAGCCTAATTGATTTTTTGTACTAAAACCTTAGCTTTGACCTGATAATGGTGTGCATTTTCTACTTGTACAACTTTATATTCACACACAAATTAAAATTCAAAATATAAAATTTTCATATTTTCTTAATCACTCATTCCTACATTATAGGCCTTAAATGTGTTTCCTGTTTCACCCTATAAAAACTTTTGTAGGTATAGGGGATGTTTGTATTATATTACATGTTTTTATACACGTAAATAAGAACAAGAGTCTAAAACTGACATAAAGACTTCAGGGTGAGCTGTTGAAGTATGTAAAGTAAGTGGTTCTTAAGATATTGTTGTTTGAAATTTTAAATTTACATTTTAAAGCTCTTAACCCACGTTGACCTTTGACTCCGGCTAGGATGAACATTAAGTAAATAAATTATCTCTGAATAAATGCACTTTTTCAAATTCTGAAAATTTTAGCCAGTCATATTAATTAATACTGCTAATCAGTATATGTACATGCTCATCAGTATATGTACATGTATCTGTTCCTTACATTACCAGGTTAATACAATCTCACCTACATGAATATATAATCATTTAGGATTTTCAAACATTTACAAAACCCACATGTAATTTAATAGTAATGAAAACAGAGTGGGTACATTAAACAATTGCTATGAGTTTCTTATCTGTTCATTTGTAGCCCTATAGAATTATTCCTCTATTGATAAACCTTTAAAAAATAAACAATTAAAGGAAAGTTATCCCAATCTTAAAGTAAAACTTTAATCTTTTAAGTATTTGTTTGAAATCCTTTAACAGCAGTTTTTCGAATTAATCACTCATTGACCATGCTAATTAAGAACACCTGCAGATAACTGTTTCAGCCTTGAGTAAACCTGCTTCTAGCTCAAACACCTGTGGACTGTTGTCTCTGGTCCCCGTCCCCAACTAATTACAGGTCCTCAGAGGCACGCACCACAAGTTCAAATTAATTCAACAGTACACTACAGACTTGTATCTGTCTGGTGACTTCACCAGTGTCAGATTCTTTGTAGCGGGCTCCCATTCAGGGTATACTCGATATCCATGGGTTCCGCCGCTCTTGTTACATGTATCGTCCCTGCACACCCTAGAATATATCATGACAAAATCGAAGCCCTTTCACATGCCACCCTGCAGATAGTAGAAATAGACTAGGTACGTAGAACAGGATTTTCACTGCTCATCTACTTACCAAACCATCATGGCCTCTTCTTACCTTGAACCTAATGGTTCTTTACAAAAATATTTCTTGAAGTTTTTTGAAATATTTGACCCTTGTGACCTTGAGAGTAGATCAAGGTCATTTATATGGATAAACCTTATACCACTATATCATAGTATATCCCAGGTACCAACTGGCCAGATAGCAGGACTCTGGACCTTATGGAACTAATAAGAAGACAGTTAATCTGGTAAAGGATTTCAAATATGGTAACCTTTTAGCCTGACTAGTGCTCAAAGATGACCTTTGACCTGAACACAAAATGATACAAAAATGATACAAAAAGATTCACACTCATTGACTTCATATCAAACCCAAACACCATAGCTCTCGTTCTTCTGGTTCTTTATAAAAAGATTCTTAAAACTGTTTACCCTCTAGAGCCCAAGTTAACTCTCTAAGCTGTCCAGTTGACCATTTTACCAAAACACAATATGTTAGAAAAACATTTTCACAACTGGTGTACATATCTTCAACTTGATGAAGGTGGTCAATACTTTGTAGATGTAGATAATTAACCCAACATTATGGCTCTTAACCTTATGGTTTCAACCAAAATGTTGCTTGTTTTAACATACTTTATCCCTGTAACCTTAAACAAAGGAAAATGATGTTGAAATACTTACAATGCAGCAAACAAACTTATGAGGCTAGTAAGAATTGTGATGGTGGCAGCTATGTTTTGGCTAAATTATATTAAATTTCAGATGAAATCATGTTTGGGATGTCTGGCATTGAAATGGTATCTGTTTGAAACAATGTCTTGGTTCAGTGATATTTTAAGATGTGAAGATGAGATGGGGATCATATTTGTAAGTGATGTGCTTAGTAGTGTATATGGCCACCATTAGCTAGGATCATCACATTACAACACTGCCATACTGACCTGGCACTATGTGGGAGGGTGTTAGTGGGAAAGTTGTTCCACTCCCCAACCAATGCATGTGCTAGCTTCAGCAAGTTGCTCCACTCCTCAACCAATGCATGTGCTAGCTTTAGCAAGTTGTTCCACTCCCCAACCAATGCATCTGCTAGCTTCAGCAAGTTGTTCCACTCCCCAACCCATGCATGTGCTAGCTTCAGCAAGTTGTTCCACGCCCCAACCAATGCATGTGCTAGCTTCAGCAAGCTGTTCCACTCCCCAACCAATGCATGTGCTAGCTTCAACAAGTTGTTCCACTCCCCAACCAATGCATGTGGTAGCTTCAGCAAGTTGTTCCACTCCCCAACCCATGCATGTGCTAGCTTCAGCAAGTTGTTCCACGCCCCAACCAATGCATGTGCTAGCTTCAGCAAGATGTTCCACTCCCCAACCAATGCATGTGCTAGCCTCAGCAAGTTGTTCCACTCCCCAACCAATGCCTGTGCTAGCTTCAGCAAGTTGTCCCACTCCCCAACCAATGCATGTGCTAGCTTCAGCCAGTTGTTCCACTCCTCAACCAATGCATGTGCTACCTTCAGCAAGTTGTTCCACTCCTCAACCAATGCATTTGCTAGCTTCAGCAAGTTGTTCCCCTCCCCAACCAATGCATGTGCTAGCTTCAGCAAGGTGTTCCACTCCTCAACCAATGCATTTGCTAACTTCAGCAAGGTGTTCCACTCCCCAACCAATGCATGTGCTAGCCTCAGCAAGTTGTTCCACTCCCCAACCAATGCCTGTGCTAGCTTCAGCAAGTTGTTCCACTCCCCAATCAATGCATGTGCTAGCTTCAGCAAGTTGTTCGACTCCCCAACCAATGCATGTGCTAGCTTCAGCCAGTTGTTCCACTCCTCAACCAATGCATGTGCGAGCTTCAGCAAGTTGTTCCACTCCCCAACCAATGCATCTGCTAGCTTCAGCAAGTTGTTCCACTCCCCAATCAATGCATGTGCTAGCTTCAGCAAGTTGTTCGACTCCCCAACCAATGCATGTGCTAGCTTCAGCAAGATGTTCCACTCCCCAACCAATGCATGTGCTAGCCTCAGCAAGTTGTTCCACTCCCCAACCAATGCATGTGGTAGCTTCAGCAAGTTGTTCCACTCCCCAACCAGTGCATGTGCTAGCTTCAGCAAGTTGTTCCACGCCCCAACCAATGCATGTGCTAGCTTCAGCAAGTTGCTCCACTCCTCAACCAATGCATGTGCTAGCTTTAGCAAGTTGTTCCACTCCCCAACCAATGCATGTTCTAGCTTCAGCAAGTTGTTCCACTCCCCAACCAGTGCATGTGCTAGCTTCAGCAAGTTGTTCCACGCCCCAACCAATGCATGTGCTAGCTTCAGCAAGCTGTTCCACTCCTCAACCAATGCATGTGCTAGCCTCAGCAAGTTGTTCCACTCCCCAACCAATGCCTGTGCTAGCTTCAGCAAGTTGTCCCACTCCCCAACCAATGCATGTGCTAGCTTCAACAAGTTGTTCCACTCCCCAACCAATGCATGTGGTAGCTTCAGCAAGTTGTTCCACTCCCCAACCCATGCATGTGCTAGCTTCAGCAAGTTGTTCCACGCCCCAACCAATGCATGTGCTAGCTTCAGCAAGTTGTACCACTCCCCAACCAATGCATGTGCTAGCTTCAGCCAGTTGTTCCACTCCTCAACCAATGCATGTGCTAGCTTCAGCAAGTTGTTCCACTCTTCAACCAATGCATGTGCTAGCTTCAGCAAGTTGGGAGACTAGCTGATTAGGGCGACACAATAAGCTCTTCTCAAGAGCCTCCAAAATATACTCTGTTGGAAAAAGATTGCTGCCTCCCATCGCCATGAGTCGAATACAAGTGGGGCTCATCCAAAACCAGAACATGATTCCACTACTGTATGGTCGAGCCATCACTATAGTAGAATGTACTATTGTGGTCGAGCCATCACTATAGTAGAATGTACTTTTGTGGTCGAGCCATCACTATAGTAGAATGTACTAGTATGGTCGAGCCAGCACTATAGTAGAATGTACTAGTATGGTGGAGCCATCACTATAGTAGAATGTACTTTTGTGGTCCAGCCATCACTATAGTAGAATGTACTTTTGTGGTCCAGCCATCACTATAGTAGAATGTCCTAGTATGGTCGAGCCATCACTATAGTAGAATGTTCTGGTCTGGTTGAGCCATCACTATAGTAGATTGTACTAGTATGGTCCAGCCATCACTATAGAAGAATGTACTATTGTGGTCGAGCCATCACTATAGTAGAATTTACTAGTATGGTCGAGCCATCACTATAGTAGAATGTACTGGTGTGGTTGAGCCATCACTATAGTAGAATGTACTAGTATGGTCCAGCCATCACTATAGTAGAATGTACTAGTATAGTCGAGCCATCACTATAGTAGAATGTACTAGTATGGTCCAGCCATCACTATAGTAGAATGTACTAGTATGGTCCAGCCATCACTATAGTAGAATGTACTAGTATGGTCCAGCCATCACTTTAGTAGAATATACTAGTATGGTCGAGCCATCACTATAGTAGAATGTACTATTGTGGTCCAGCCATCACTGTAGTAGAATGTACTAGTATGGTCCAGCCATCACTATACTAGAATGTACTATTGTGGTCGAGCCAAATTAAGGTGATTGGAACGATGATGTTAAAACAGGACCTGAATAAGGCCTCTCACCTGTATGTGGATTATCCACTTACATGGCTACCAAGCAATGTTCTTGCTGATCGTAGGAACAAGCCAGAATCATGGCTGGGACACTGCAACCAACCGTCTACACATTGATTGGTTATAACCGGTTGGCGTCCTTGATGGCCGGACATCGACACTGTCACATGGAAACGTTGCAATAGACAGCTTACTGTTTTTAGGCTGTAACAAAAATGTCCAGCAACATGATTTGTCACTCCCACGTACCTAGAGCATTCCAATAGCCCACTCTCTCTTTATTTTATAGAGTCCCATCACTGCTTAAACAGATAAATTTACAGGAATTGTCGTAAGATTCCACCCGACAAGGGATTTGAGCATGTGTTTACATGACCTTAGCCCATTTAGCTCTGATAGGCACAAGAAAAAGTGGAAAAAATCTGTTTGGAGTCGTAGGTAGGGTGATTGACAAACTTCATGCATGACTAATTTTAATGAAAAGATCACAATCTAATACGGATGTCCTTACCAAACTCACTAGCCGCTGGAGCACGTACTGTTCTATAATTAACAATATTCTGGTATTCCACAACATACCATATCAACCTTCTTTGTTTGTGGAGTATTTGAGGAAACTTTATACATGTAACATCCAATGCCAGGAACCTACGAGCCAAATATCACGACCCTGGGACATTCAGTTTTCAAGAAGAAGTTGTTGCAAAATAAAACAGATGGAGAGAAGATGGATAGCTAATGCACTGCATACATATAAAGCTCACAGGCAATTTCTGGTCAGGTGAGTTTTAAAAAACACCTATTTGATGTATAAACTACAACAGAATTACTCAACCCCATCAAAATGTTCACTGTTTATACTGATACATTATCCTTAAAACAGATAAAAAGGAAAAGAAATATACATTATATAGTATCTTTTACCGAGGGAGGTCAGTTGATGGCAGAGTCATTTCACCATGCTGGCATTATCTTGACCCCAGGGTGATTTCACCATGTTTAAAAATACCATGCTTCACAGAAGCCCACATCTATGGAGTGGAGGCCTCCTTTAAAAGTACCATATTGTAATATCCCTGATCTCTTCAAAATTACTGTCCAGTAGGATTTTTTCTACATATTAACAAGTCTATATATATCTGCTCAATAATTGTCAGTCCTCCTAAAAATTGTACATATCATCTGATATATATATAAGCTACGTACCTTATATTTGATAATCTGTATCTCGTTACCTTATAGATATCAACTTCCCTGTGAAGTGAGAGAAGCTGTCTGCATGTTTACAAATCAACCAATAAAATATCAGATAAGAAATTGTCAATGTAATGGACTTCAGCAACCAACACAATACAATCACTATCAGACTGCACATATGTCCTGAGCAAGCACATGTTACTGTTCAACTCTCTCCACAAAATATTGTGATTGTAACCATTATTTAAGTAACAATAATTTCAATCACACTGTCCAGGTACACATGACTCAGCTTGGCCAATTACATCACACAGCACTAGAAAGCACAGGTAAATAACCAACAAAGTTGAGTCCCACTAAGTGGTATACTTTCAGTGTAAGGTGTATATTTACCTGTGATGTGACAAGTTATTGTCAACACTTTCCATCCAGCACAGGTAGAACACAGATACTATTACAGCCCAGGTAGATATCCTCAATACTGCACACACACAGTACTACACTAAACACATACATCTTTGTCCATATCACATGTTTGTCCTGGTGTTGATCAGAAGGTACGCTAGCCAGTGTGTGGACTATACCCACAAGGCCATACGTTATGATCTCACACCTGTACAGCGTCGTCTACCTGGCCAGGTACTGTTTACCTGTGTCACATGGTACCGACCGTGTCAACTGGATGGTAGATCAATACAGGTGTCGCGTTTAATCCTCATACCTGGTAAACTACACAGGTACAGCTAAATGTGCAGGTAATTCCCTACTTGTATTTGCTTGTACATATACATAATCTTGTATGTGACTTAGTTCTAGCTACCCCAGTAGTACTGAGGTATTGTACATGTTAATCTACACTTAATCTACACTAAATGCACATATGTCTTTAATTTTTTATTATAGGTATTTAAAAAAATATATCAACAGGGCCTACTTTAAAGTATACAAACTTGTGTGTAAATGTGGTTTCTCCGTCTAACAGTGACAAAGTTGTGTACATGCTAACCTGTTTACAAATGTGTATATATATCCCACTAATCTGCAATCAGGCAAACCACTGTCACACACCTTAACCCCCCAGGCCACCCCCACATATACGTACACATGTTCATTCATACATGCACACACACTCACACACACTCACACACACAAGCACATGCATTCATACATAGCTATACCCTGATTTTTGTAACTTGGTATGTCAATACCTTTACGAGTTAGGACAACCAAATGGTAATGGCATGATGGTAAGTCATTGGTGTACACATGTACACTGGAGACACAGGCTGTCCACCAACAACATTCTAAATTAAAAAATATACCTGGACCAAATGACAATACAACTTCCCTCCAACCACAGGGGTTCCTTGCAAATGTCTGAAATACACATCAGTATAGCATATGTGTATTTCAGACATTTGTAACGGAGTCCCTGTGCTCCAACATAAAACAAATAGTCAATACTTGATACATCCTCTGAAGGTTCGTTAAATGTTAAACAGTTAAGTATGAGGAAAACTAACTAAATACCATATCACTACTTGATGGGGCAAGTTCATTTAAAATCTAAATAGAACGAACTTCCAAATCATCAACACTTTGTTTCAACAAGATTCATGCAGTTGACAAAGTTGAATCCATCAAACATAAAGATTATAAAGGAATATAGAGTCAATGGGACCAAAGAAAGCAGATAAAAAACAAAGACTGTTAGACACTGGTTACAAAACAAAGGTCATTTTGTTGATATAAGTAAAATTAACAAAAATCATTTACACAAAACCATAGCCATTACAATTCAACTTGGGGTCGAATCTGTTACCATCTTTGTCTATAATGGTGTAACCTAGCCAGACCACACACCAATAAAGAGTCTTTTTAATCAAACTTGTGTTTTATGTTTCTATGTTTATGTGCTGCTAATAAATGCCTCTAAAAATAACATCAGAAAATCATAATCTTGGTAAAATGTTACAAGAAAGTTTTGGAAGCAAACATCAAATAGGGCTGGAACTCTATGTCATGTACATTCCATTTTGATAAGCATATGTTTCATGAAATCTGATGGTGCAACATGTAAAAAGATCAAAATCTCATGCCTGGCATTCATGTAGTCTATAGATTCTGTTCAAAGTTGATGAAAAACTTACCAGGGTAAGCAACTTCTTAGTTTTCTTCTTTTGAATTCTGTTCAAAAATAATTTGAACAAACCTGATAGCCCTTCATCCCAGCATTTTTCTCTGCAAACATCAACATCCTATTTTTATTCATAGAAGTTGTTTAAAGATTTTAACACCAATCTGACCGTTGTGACATTGAAAGTTAGTCAAACAAACTTAGAAGCCCTTCATCCCAGCATGCTACTGGCCAAATATTATCACACTAAGCCTATGATTTATGCAGAATTTTATCATCATCAAAGGATCATTTTAAGAAATGTTGTTGAAAACCCATATATAAGTTTCAGAGGAAATGGCATTAAACTGTTTCAACTATAGACCCTCATATGGCCCTGACTCTCAACCCCCTGGGGAGGTCAGTCCATTCTTGAGTATAACTTTCCAGCATCATCATCAAGTATATCTTTTTAGTTATCACAGTGAATATCCACTTGTTCATTTCAGAGGAGATGTCATTCACAGGTTTTTTACATTGTGACCACTAGTAGCCCGATCCCCTCAGCATTGTTGGGGTCGACCTTCGTGAGGTCGGCCTCGTCTTGAGGACAGATTCTGATCTCCAGTACAGGCTGGTGATTACCACCAATGAAGTTCCATCAAATTCTGACAAATGATTTCTGAGGAGAATTCAACAAGAAGAAGCTCGGCGCCCACCATGAAAGGATCTTTGTCAGATCTACAAAAGATGATCTTTTACCTTCTTTGCTCTTTGATTTCCATACAGGTTCTATGACCATCCAGTCCCATGCTAGAAATCCTTAACCAGAATATTGTACATTAACTCCAACCTTGTAAAGTCATGTTATTTGCCACTACAGCAAATGTTACTGTATAAAAATTGCATGACTATATATTCAAATGCTCAAAATATGTAATTCTTACATAATGAGAGGTGCTGTCAAGGAGCGATACATTCTCATTAGGGAATTTAGGGCCAGGGGTATTGTCAACAAGAGGAACACGGATATAAAATTTGAGAAAGATCCCTCTGATAACTTTCTGAGAAATAGCGCTAACAAAACTGTCAATATTCAAGATGGCCATCTGTCCACCATTTTGTTTATCTGATTAGTCTTGAAAGTAAACGTGCACAACTAAAGACCAAAGGGAACTTACATACTAAATTTGAGAAAGATCCCTCAAGTATTTAAAATAAAATAAAGATAACAACAAATTTTTAAGGACATGATATAATGCTGAGTGATTTGAATAGCCTACCATCATCAATATGATTGTTTACAGAAGATGTGAAACACATGATACACCACACACAATGAAACCAAAGGCAATCGCAACAGCGAGGTTACTCAGGGGGTTTAAAAATCACACGACTTAATGTCACGTGGTAAATTTACTAGTTGGAATCAAGCAATGGATGACCTAGCTGTTTTACAAGGTAACTTGGTAAACCTGAACCCGTGATTGTTATAAACATTAATTCTAGGTGTTCTATCCTGGTTTGTAGTGAAACACTAGTACTTCATATATATTATTAAAATGTAAAAATATGACTCAAGAAGAGTTGCTGTACATAGTATGTATCATTTTGCAAGTCACATGGATATACCACTTCTTAAATATGACAGTCATTTTGTTTATACTGTAAAAGATGTGGATTAATTAGGTTGCCTTACAAGCGTCAGATGTAGGGAATTTCCCTTTAGCTTAGCGGTAGAGCATTGGGCTGGAGAGCAAAGGGGTCTCAGGTTCGAGCCCCAGCGACGGCACTATCTTTACCACTATTCCTCGTCCTATTACAATACTTCTGTACATATTATCATGATATGTCAGTAAATGTTCAACCAAACTACTGAGCAGTATTCCAGTGCTGTCGACAATCAAAGGTTTGTATGAGTGAAACGTGTATTTTCTTTAATGAATATTGCTAGGAACTTTTTTTGATAATTATTGGGAACAAAAGAATGGGCCTGTATTGTCAACCTCTCCATCATCTGAGACCCTAAAAGGGGGTCGAGTCACCTTATAAATCTTGGCTGAAAGATTTTTATCTTAGTAAGCTGAAGACGTACATGTATCTTAAAAGAATTTGCTCTATTTCCCCTATTTGGCCCGGCCCTCTGTCCAAAGGGGGGCCACACTCGCTGTTTATACAAAATTGAGTCCCTTTTGCCCAAGGATGCTCCAGACTAAATTGGAATGAAATCCCTTCATACCTATGGTAGAAGAAGGATTTTAAAGGTTTTACCTCTATTTCCCATATTTGACCCCACTCCTCTGCCCCCAGGGGAGCCACACTCACTGTTTATACAAAATTGAGTCCTCTTGGCCCAAGGATGCTCCAGACTAAATCAGCATAAAATCCCTTAATCCCTACCGTAGAAGAAGGATTTTTAAGGTTTAACCTCTATTTCCCCTATTCGGCCCGCTCCTAAAGGTGGCCACACCCACCGTTTATACAAAATTGAGTCCCCTTGGCCCAAGGAAGCTTCAGATTAAATTAGGAGAAAACCCCTTAATCCCTATGGTAGAAGAAGGATTTTAAAAGTTTTACCTCTATTTCCATTATTTGGCCCTGCCCCTCTGCCCCAGGGGGCCACACCCACCGTTTATACAAAATTGAGTCCCCTTGGCCTAAGGATGCTCCAGACCAAATTTAGTCAAAATCTACTTCTACGGATGCTGCGGTATGGCATAAGCTCAACATGGTCCTACGGTAAAAATGTGCATCTACATTTCAACATTCAGCTCTTGAGCAGGAGGCTGTTTCTAAGTAATGCTATCGTGGGCGTAAAACTTTTGACACTTATTGCTGAGAATATGAAAGCATTTAATTCATCAAATTTTCAAAATGAAATATGACTGAAACATCATACATTATTTACATCAGCTCATTCCAGTGTCTATAAAGCAATTCCTTGTGAAAACATAAGTCGTCATCTTTTTTTATAATTATTCTCAAAAAAAGTAGAAAGTGTGGCAGTAATATAGATAAATACATGTTAACATTACATAAAAAAACATGTTTATAATAATAAGTAACATATTCAATAAAAAATATTTTTTTAAATTTTGTCCAACTTGTCTGAGTGTTTGGTATTTCACATACCATCCCCACTTGTTTAAAATTGACATCAACAACTGTTGACAAGGTATAAACTTCTTATAATATGATGAAATAGTTAAAATGTTAGTATCATGTTTCATGTTAAGGGCCATGCAAAGTGGAAATAAGCTAGTCTATGTGTTATCCTGGTAAAACATGTATTGTCCATGTACAGTACCTACAGTATACCTACAGTACCTACAGTATACCTACAGTATACCTACAGTACCTACAGTATACCTACCTACAGTATACCTACATTACCTACAGTATACCTACAGTACCTACAGTACCTACAGTATACCCACAGTACCTACAGTATACGTACAGTACCTACAGTATTCCTACAGTACCTACAGTGCCTACAGTACCTACAGTGCCTACAGTACCTACACTATCCCTACAGTACCTACAGTATCCCTACCTACAGTATACCTACGGTACCTACAGTACCTACTGTATACCTACAGTACCTACGGTATACCTACAGTACCTACAGCATAC